TCATAATATAGATGTAGAGAATTTTTATTCTTTGTTACAGTTAGTTCCTTTGGATATAGGTTGTTATATTAGGGACATTATTAGTTATCATTCTAGTGCTCTTGGCACTAGCTAGGGATTGGCCTTTGAGGTCTTTTCCCTTGTTTGTGGCTGTCGCTTGTATTGTGTTTTTCAGCCTTTTGACCCTTTGGGTCCCCCGAGCTTGATCTATTACCATTTACCATTTACCATTATCTATTTATACTTCTTGAGAAGTTACCATAGTAACATGTGGTAATTTCTCCTAACTTACTTTTACCTAGTTAAGTTTGACTAACCCTCTTTATGTGACAACATGCCATTGGCCTAGCTAAACCTTCTAGAAGTTTCCGGAATTCAAGGTTGAGGTGGCGACATGCCATTGGAAACTTTTAAACTTCTACAAGCTTCTTAGCCACTAAGTCAACACTAGACTTAGTCTAGCCAATCATCTTTCATACATTTTAGTCTAACCAATCAAATCCAAGCTTTTAGTCAAATATCTAATCCCTTGGAATTTAGAACTTTTGTATAAGACAAATTAGAAGTGCTCACCCCTTGTAAAAGAAAAAATAGAAGTGCTCACTCCATTCTTCTAGAACTCCGCTAATCACACCCGCCAACTATAGACATTGTAGCTAAACTTAGTTATGAATAGATAAACTTAGTTATAACTAACTAGTTTAGTCATAACTAGCTAGACTTAGCTACCCCTTGGCTAATCATCCTTAATCACTTGACCACTTCTTAGACTTAGTACATATGTGCAACACCCGGTCTTACAGATCGTCATCATGACTCACAAGACCACGATCGACGAGACCGCGGCAGATCCGTTTCTTACCGAAGCTCTTGCTATAACTCTGAGCGCGATGACAGGGATCGTCGCCCTGACTCTCGCGACTACCCACGCGCTTACTCTCCACAACGTTACTCTCGCCAATCCCCTCAACGCTCTCGCAATAGCTACTGAAGGAACCAATCTCCCTAGCGATCTTATGAAACAGGGAGCCGATCTTCCCAATCAGCCCCTCCTAGTTTGAAACCTAGACTGTGCAGTACGTGTCACGAAGAAGGGCATTGAAGTTACGAATGTGACAAGTATCAGCTTAAGAAGTAGCTCGAGGCTTTGCAAATTTCTTACAACACCTTGAAGAACTCTAGAACATCAAGAGCGAACAACGTTCAGTTTTACATCGATGGTCAGGACGATCACCAAAAAGTTGGCTTTGAGGAGACCCACATTGTTTTCTTCAGTCAACCTATACCTCCTCCCGAGGATGATGATGTAGCCACTGTACTATATGCATTTCTTAGCCAGGTGGAAGAGAAACAGTCGTGGTTTTTTGATAGTGGGGTCACATCCCATTTGATTGGAAATAGTTCACTTTTGTCTAATGTCGAACCCAGACTGACAAACTTTTGGTGAAGACCACAGGCAATCAGATCCTGCCAGTTTGAGGAAAGAGGTCTCCAACCTTAAATCAAAAGAAGGGCTCCGATGTTTTCTACGTTCCTGGTGTCAAGTGAAATTTGCTTTCAATTGATCGTCTTACTGATATGAGCCACATTGCACTTTTAAATCTTAAGAATTGCTACGTCTATGATAAGGGAGATCCTCGTAGAGTTTTGCTCTAGGGTGAACGTGATCCACTTGACAGCTTGTACAGGCTTTCCAAGCCGACGACTCTACCTCAGCTAACGACGTCTCCACCAAAGACTCGTCTTCGGTCATCCACTGTTTGGAATATCGAAGGTCCTCTTCCAGACGTGCTCCGTAGCTCAAGTCAAACTTTGGCACCGAAGGTTAGGCCATGCAAACTATCAAAAGTTGCAATTAATGGCCTCCAAGAATCTGGCTACAGGGATTTCCCAGATCTGACACATTAAGTCTCTCTGTGCCACATGTCTAAAAGCCAAACAAAGTAGGAACCTTGTATCTCGACACTCTCACACCCAGACTACTCGACCTTTGCAATTGTTACATTCTGATTTATGTGGGCCTCTTCCTTCCGAGTCAATTAAGAAAAAGAGGTACATATTAATCTCTTAAAGCCAAACAGAGTAGGGGCCGTGTACCTCGACACTCTCACACCCAGACTACTTGACCTTTGCAATTGTTACATTTTGATTTATGTGGGTCTCTTCCTTTCGAGTCACTTACGAAGAAGAGGTACATATTAATGTTCACGGACGACTTCACTTGTTATACGTGGATTTACTTCCTGAGAACTAAGTATGAAGTCTTACAACAGTTTCAGGATTTTAAAGTAATGATAGAGAATAACTACTAGTACAAAATTGCAGCTCTCAGGAGTAATAGGGGAGGCGAGTACTTCTCCAAGGCCTACCACGGTTTTTGCTTGCAGGTGGGTATTAAGCACGATTTGACCTGTGCCTATACTCCACACCAGAACGGCGTCGCCGAGAGGAAAAACAGAACTGTTTTGGAAATGGCCCAAAGCCTGCTTCTGTACGCCCAACTTCTTAAGGCCCTATGGGAGGAGTCAGCACGAACGGCTGTCTACGTTTTGAATAGGCTGTCCACTAAAATTGTTCAAATGTCAACACCTTTTCAAAGGCTTACAAGTTTAGTCTAAATCTAAAGCATCTTCACATTTTTGGATGTAACGCTTCAGTTTTGCTAACTACCAAGTTTGATAAGCTCTTTGCCAGGTCCTTACCAGTGACGTTTATAGGCTATGACACCTAATCAAAAGCCTATCGGATTTACAATGCTGTCAACGGAAAAGTCTACACTAATCGGAATGTGAGATTCAACGAGTCTGTTTTTGACCTCGCTGCCCGCTATGATCTTGAGCTTGTTACCGAGCTTGACATTTTGCTTCCTCAGAAATCGTCCACCAGGCAGAATGCTCATGTAGTACCCGTAGCTCCATCCTACAACACTACACCGGTACCATCCTCCGACGGTACTGTTCCTGAGTCACCTGGCCCCACATGTGATGGTTCTAGTACGGGACCCACTCCCTTGGTCAGTGCACCGGCGGCTCCATTCGTCTCTTCTTTCGAGCCGCTTCCACCTCCCTCTGGCGAGTCTACTTTCAAAACTGAGTGGTTTCCCACCACTCCAGCACAGTCCGACCCTGCTTACAATAATAATACTTCAACGACACCCGAGCAGGAACATATTGTAGAAGATCTCCCTACCACACGGTCACTTACTCCACATTCACGTTGTCCTCTAGCCTACTAGAAGGACTACGTTACCTTCAATGTTGAGATTCCAAGTGGTGGGGTCAACTGTCATACGGTATACATTCCAATTACTCCACTTGAGTGCCATGAGGCTAAATTAATTGACTATAAAGGTGAGCCACTAACATTTGATGAAGCTATCACCATGCCCGAATGGTACGCCTCGATGATGGACGAGCTTAGCTCGATTGACAGGTATAATACCTGGACATTGGTCAAACTGCCCCGAGGAGCCAAGGCCATAACTTGCAAATGGGTTTTTTGGGTAAAAAAGACCCAAAACAACGCTCCGCCTCGCCTCAAGTCCCGGCTTGTTGCCAAGAGCTTTCAGCAAAGGGAAGGTAAGGATTATACCGATACCTTCGCCCTTGTAGTAAATAGGTCTACAGTGCGTTCCATCTCAACCATCGCTGGAGCCAGCGGGTGGCCTATTTGCCATTTAGACGTCAAGACTTGTAGCACGACATGGTATCAGTATTCCTTCGGAAATCATTCCGCGTTCGTTCCCACGAAGATCTACAGTTTTCCCCCTTTAAGACAATAACAATAACACCTAATTTGACTTCGTCTCTCACTTCCGGACTGGTTCGCAGTTAGTCACCTGGCTTTAATCCTATCATCAGAAAGTGACCGACCCTATGAAGGAGTTCGGTCTACACACAACGCCAGTGTTCTGAAGACTACCAGCCTATGCTGCACTAAGTCTTCCCTCCCCTCTAGGCTACGTCCGGACGGTGGAAACCGTCAACATTCTACGCTTGACACTTTTCCACTCACTCCGTGCGCTCTTCAGATTCTCCTACTGTTCAACACTCTTCCCGAATATCTACTCAAGACAACAGTCTCTGGGCCTGTTTTGACAACCGTTCCACAGATAAAAGCTACAGGTATGTTCTCAATTGAAAAACTCAAAACGGAGTACAAAAAGATGCCCCTACCTTGAGAAAACCCCCGGCTTAAATCCTATCTTCTACCAGTGACCAACTAAAAGCTCGTCAATTCCGGACAGGTGGCTGACTCTTATTTCTAGTGGCCGCCGCTAACTTTCAGGATTAGCAGCCGGGTGCCCATAAGCCTCATCGTTAATCGTTGCCATACTATCCGGGAGCTAACCTACTCCTAGAATTACTCAAACCGTGGGTTCTGCCGGACATCATGGAAACTCTGTAGGAGCGTGCTCATCTGGTCCCTTGTGAACCCAAGATGCTCCTACTTCTACGGTCGGTACTCATAACCTCATCAGGTCTCCAAGGTGCACTGCCTCTAGTCGAAAAAACAATGTAGGTAAGGTAAGTCGGTAGAGCAGATCTGTATTTAGGAAAAAAGATTGGTGGGGAAGGTCGGGTTTGGGATCTGCTTCTAGACCTCGGCGGGTTGTCGGTGGTGTGACTGAGCTGCTGTAGTCTTCGGCGTCTCTAGCCCTATGCTCTTCTTTGGCAACGGATTTTTAGAAGAACACCAACAAAGTAACTAAAGCCCGTCTTTGGCTGCGGAGGTTCAACTAAACATCCATTTGGACACCGTAGCAGATTCACATAAGCAGGAGCAGCAGCAGCCATGGCTGCTCGCCTAGAGAAAGGAAATAGACTCAAATCACAACTACGGGTACTTCAAAGCTCATCCGGTCTTCAAACATATGATTTCTGCACCTGGGACAACCGGCAACTACGTCGCTTGATGCTGCCTACAAATTTTCTTCACAATCTCATACGATCAGACACAGTCATCTCGTCGGTGCAGATTCGCGACGGTTGAACAGAGCTCTGGAACACTTTAACTCCTTCGAGAGTCGATTCATGCTCCATCGATTTGCTCCAATTTAGGAGCGATGATTTATCTTCATAATGTGAATCCACAAAGCTCTTCTCAGAGTTCACTTCGACATTCGACATTCTTTACAAGCGTCTGAACTTCCATGCCATCACCTCCTGTAAGCTCTTCGACAGCTAATACCCATTGCCGATCCTTGCAGAGCATCTCACTCTACATCTCAGACCCTAATGCTCCAGTGTCTCCGCTGGTGAAATCTCCTAACAGCTCCACACCAAAAGTATCTGCAAGGAGTCTCTTCTTCTCGAGCTTGCCACATTCATCATCACACGACAATTTCCTTTGACCCAGAGGAGTTCTCTCACTACCCTGAGCAATAGGCTGCAGAGGAGCTGGTAACCTACTGAGTATCATCTCCGTCTCTGCTGAAGCTCTGCTGGTGTTACTGCATCCTGCATCACAAGGAATATCACCTGATATCCTTCCACAGCCCCATGTGATTGTAACTACGACTTTGCATCGGTTGTCGGGACTAAGGGGGGAAGGGTGACAAGTCAAAATGCATGTAGGAGAACATTCTCTTTGAGGGGCTCTGCAAGGCTGCCCACATGAAGTTTTCGCAGTCTTCACACCCCTCGCACTAGCATCCTCTACATTGTCACACGAGTAACATGACAAGCTCTGGCACAAGCGTGCAACCCACACTGCCTAGTTTTACCACAAAGCTTATTGCACTTGATATCTCTAGATCCGCAAGGAACTCCTCTAAGAAGAACATGATTTCCAACACATTCTTTAGTCACAGGGACTGTGCAAGGTGGACAATCACCGAAATGACCAAGATGGGTTGCTGGATGTTCACAAGGCGGGCGGAATGAGCATGGCTCTTGACAGGAAGGCAAAGGTGTTCCACATGAAACAGGTGGGGTATAGAAGTTTTGCCGCAAGCACAAGACAACTCAGTGAATATGGACTCTAAACATGGAGGGCAATGACCAGAATGACAACGCTCTTGACAATTATGTTACCAACATCGTAACTTCTTTCCTCAAGAAGGAATGCAGTCGTGTGGATCCCGATCGCTAGTATCCTGGAGGCTAGATCCATTTATCGCAGGGCAGCATCTGTTGTTACACCGATGTCTTCCGCAACTTTTCTTGTCCGCCTTTCTTCATACAAAGAAAAAGACCTTCCGTCCCCTCTTGCACAAAAGGATTTCCTTGTGAAACGTGACAAGCAACTGACCTACTAGAGAAACCACACCAGCATTTTTGCTCCACTGGTACCCAACAGGGCGGGCAAGGACCTGAATGACATAGATCTCTACACACGTGCACCTTGCAAGGTAGTACTTTACTACAACGCTATCCACAGGTCAAGACAAGATCCGTACAATTGCTCCTTGTTCGCCCAGATCCGTCTAGTTCCAGCAATTTCTTCTTTCCACAAAGGACATGTTTGCAACATTGCAGCTGAAACCTCACACTCTCCACAAGGTCTAGGATGACACTTTTGCTGACATTCGTGCTTACCACAAGAGAGTGTTTTCAAGCAACGGCAGCCCCATGACAATATACCCTTCTCAAAATCAACATTTCCTTGTATCTCCATTGCTCCGCATGACCTGGTTTCATGCTTCTTTCCACAAAAGCATTGAGTATTGACATCGACTTGCACATCTCACAAGATCCTTCGTGACAAATCCTGAAATAAGAATATCGTCCAAATGACAGCTTCTGCCCACAAACGTCTCCACAACTGCTAATGGCTTTTTTGTTTGCCACATCTGCCGGTCTTCTTACCACAAAGACAAAACTCTGATGGAGCCACTGCAGAACAAGGTGGACAAGTACCTGGATAACATTGCATCGTACAGTAGTGATTGCATCATTTTGTCTTACTGCTGCCCAAAGGCTTCTTGCAAGGACCACCGCATGAATGAGAAGCAAGATAATGATCAACCGGAGGATTGTCTACTTGACCACCGAAGCAATTGTATCGAAGATCCATGTCAGTGATAAGTTCCATAGCTTGACAACCAGAACACCTCCCGTTTCCTTTATCTAACCTTATACCATCCTCTACTTCATGATATGATGTCCCACCCCGTCTACTCGTCTGAGGGGCATGTGAGCCATCCGACGATCCTCCCCTGTTGAACCTTTGCCCTCTCCCTTGGCTATGTCCTCCATCACATCGACGGCCTTCCCTTCTGTGCTTGAATGAGGCAGAAGCCGACCCGGCCCACCTCCTCGGGCTTCAGATCTCCATTCTTGATCGCTAGTCCATCACAAGCTATTGCATTTTCTCCAAGAACAACAAGAGTCAGATTATTGAGGTTCCACGCTCATCCTGACCTCGGGAACGCCCGCTCATAACACCAAAATGTTCGCCACCGAGCCTCCTGCGTCCCTGTGCACGCAATCTCGGCTACCGATCTGCTCATCACATCATACTCGCATCCACAAAGCCACGAAACCCTCCCTCTGCCCGCTCTTGCTCCCTTCCTAGCTCCTCCCCTCCTGCCTCTTCCGCCCTCAATCCGTGCCTCCCCTAAGTTCTTTCTTTGTTTCGATTTTCCGACCTTCTTATCCCGTAGTTATTACTTTCTAACCTACAAACTTACTGTAGCTATTAAAAAAAACTTCATTTTTTAATTTTTTTTTCCAGAAATACTTGTTTGGCCGGTTATCAGTGGAATTCACTTTCCACAAGACTGCTTTCTTGAACGGTCTCATCTCCAAAAATGTCTATGTGAACCAGTCACTTGACTTCGCTCAAATTGAACAAAGCGCTTTATGGACTAAAGCAAGCTCCACGGGCTTGGTATGAATGTATTGATCTCTACCTAAGAATTGCAGGTTGGACTCGATGTGCTTCAGATCTGAATTTGTATATACTTAGGGAGGGTGCTCTAATTCTATTGCTTATGCTATACGTAGATGATATGTATATCACAGGCAATAATCAAGATAAAATTGCTGACATTAAGTATAATATGATGCGTCAGTATGAAATGACTAACTTGGAAGAAATACAAAAATATTTAGGTGTCAAATTCACTAGGTTGCCACAGGCATTATTTTTACATCAGAAGTAGTACATAACTAAAGTCTTAAAAGAGTTTAATATGCTAGACTGCCGACCATCCATGCTACCGATAGATGCAGGTAAAAATGTGATTGAGAATAGTGGTTTACCCAGTGTTGATGCCACTTTCTACCATAAGCTAGAAGGGCAGTTATTTTTCACAACAAATCCAGATTTGACATTTGTTTTGCCGTTGGGCAACTATCGAGATTTATGACGGCGCCCCAAGAAGCACATCTGGAAATCGGCTTCCAGACTTTGCAGTACCTTAAGGGTACCTTGGATAACGGCATCCTCTTTCGACTTGGATATCCTCTACAATTGCAGGGCTACACCGATGCGACGTGGGGCTACTGCCTAGATACCTTCAGGTCCACCGGTGCATATACCTTTACGTTGGCTGGGGGCACATTCTCCTGGTGTTTGAAGAAACAAAACTTGGTCCCACTTTCTTCGACAGAAAGTGAGTACAAAGCTGTCTTTCGGTGCACAAGAGGTGATATGGTTAAGGCAGCTACTTCAAGAAATCAACGCCACTCTAACGTTGCCAACACCACTCTAGTGCAAAGATCTCAAGGTAACGACTGCAGTTCAGGACCAGAATTCTTCACCAGAGTCAACGATCATACACTATGATAACAAGAGTGCAATAAAGCTTGCCAAAAATCCTGTGTTCCATGCTAGAAGTAAGCACATAGATATTACTCATCATTTTATTAGAGATATCATAGTTCAATTTCTCTCCACCAAGCTATAACCAGCAGATATGCTAACTAAGGCTTTGCCCCGGCTGAAATTCAACCAGCATAAGAGGTACCTAGGACTACGCAGTCTCACAGAACTCAGAGATCCTACCTTCTCTGCTGAACAAATGCCTCTGCCTCTCGTCTAGTTCTGAAGGCCTTATGAATGTTCCGCTGGGAATCCTAATACCTGAGCTGCAGCTTCCCTCCAGCCGAAGTAGACTCCAGGCCTTCGACCTATGGCCACAACATAGTATTTTCTACTTAGAATAAAGTCCTCGTCCAAGGCAACTGGATTGGGTACTTTGCGGACGGGAGCACTACTACTCCCAGCCGCTGTTGCTGACGACGACGAAGCTTCACCTGCTTACACACAGAATCTTACTAAGGCAAGACGAGAGCTTTCTTCAACGGGATCTACGACTACACCTTCATCGATTGTGCCGTTCAGAAATGCTTCAGTGTCGTTCATAAGAGTGTAGGTGTCCGATTCAGGTAGCCGCTCTAACAAATCTCAAAGTGTTCTTCGTGAATCATTAGGAGATCTGATGCTCTGGAGCCTACTTGTTACCGCACCCTTCTCTGGGTCCCGTGGCTTGATTGACTGAAACCCAAATTCAGTCACAGTGAAGAGAAAACACAGCAACGATTTTAAAAACTTGAAGAACGTTGCCCACAAGGTTTCCTCCATCTCTTTGTTGATTGCACTTGCCCTTAGCTCGGAGGTCCGCCATCGACAATCTTTAGGAATTAGTTAGTTTGGTAGACCTTCCTTTTGCACTCTAAGAGTAAGGGAGGGTGTTAGAATTAGCTAGATTAGTGCGTCTAATGTACTCTTAGAGTACTTAGGCCAGTCAGCGATTGTCTTCTAGTGATTGCTATCTGGATATCTAAAGAAGTGGACTTAAGCAAACCAGCCAATGCATATGTGACCGTTGCGGAAGCTTACGATAAGGCTCTGCTAGAGTCCAAAGTGTGATCGGTAACCCGAGGCACTATATGTACTGGGACAATTATTCGGTAATGCATTCAGACTGATTACGATCAGTGGTATTCTAACAGAAAACAATTTGAAGTCGAGTGCCTAGGGTCCGAAGGGCATTCGACAAAAAGAGTGACTAAATAGTCGACAAAAGTTAGTTAGCCTGGGTCAACTAGAACACAAAGGTGGATTCAATAAGAGCATGCTTTCTACATATCTTGTAGTAACAAGTTAATCTTAATTTGATTATTTATGATTTTACTAACTAAAATTGACATGTTAACTTCTAATACAATAAAAATCATATCTGAATGTAAAATTTTGTTAAGATATAACAGAAGTAATTAAATGTCTGTATTTTGAATCAAGCATACACCTTACCTGTAATTTTCATCTGTACATTAAATTCGATTAAAAATATCAAATTTCTTATAATATTCTGAGTAAGTATATAATGTAGTATAGTCGATTTGCAGAATTTGGTGCATATAAGTTGATGTTACGAGGTACTGCATATTGAAACAAATAGAAAGAAACCATATCAATAAAAATCATGGTTTAAACCTATGTAGTCCATTTTCAACAAAAAATAATATTTTTCTTCATCGGCTTTGAATAGTGTATCAAAGGGCCTTATAAATACCTAGCTTTACTTTACGTATTACATTGTAGAGTTCTCGAGTCTATTCAAAAAAGGTCAGCGGCATCAAAATGAATTTCACGGGTTTTTCATGTTTCGAATCTTGGTTCATCACGATACCTCAGCTTTGAACACTTGTCCAATAGTTGAAGAGATAGCAGGGAAAAGTAACACTCAAAGAAAGAAGCATAACGAAAACTGCGGAGATAGTAAAGTAGGGGCCACCACAACCTCTTAACTTCATATACGTATCAACCGATAAGAGAGAAATGGATCAATCCAGAGGATAACACACTAAGGGAAAAGAAGACATTGACCACTGGCGAAGGTACTAGCTGAAAAAGTCTATAATAAGATGCGAAATATACAATGATGAGTAAAATGCTTGCATGATTATTGAGCAAGTGACTATATAAAAAGACTCAGTTTTTATGAGCGTGTAGTTTACTCACATGTATATAAGACAAGCTAGATTATCTTACATCTGGTGAGAAAATTTGAGAAACTCAAAAGTAGATTCTTTTAGCGTAAATAAAATCGTTGAATTATACATTGTCAAAATAACTTCGTATTCTGACTGGTTTCTCAACAAGAATCTAAAGGTTTAGCAAGCTGATGTAGAGGAGATATCAATTTTGAGTCACCAATGTCCTTTGGCAATTTGGTGTCAAGCGCTGGCTGAAGAAAGGGCGAGAAGGTAGACAAGGATCGATGATAAGTTACGCAATAGAAAGTTACTGATAGAAAAAAGTATATTTACAGTCAAGCGATTTGAGTATACAGCAACCACAATAACTTATGCTAACTATTGCCGGAAGTACTGCATTACGAGAAGAACTGTCAGTGTAATATAATGTGTACTCATCTAATGCTGCTGTTGACCCTGTACATTGGCTTTGATTGCGAGAATTACACAGAACTCCCTGTGAGGATGCGTCGTAAAATGTACAATTGCTATGCTAGAGACTTGGAGACGAACAATGGGAGTGACCTGCGCACATCTCTAGACGTATTCCTACAAGAGCTAACTGAACGTGACTCAAAACCACCGCATTGCAGAAATGGCCAAGCATGATGTTTGATTTGACGTCGTCACTTCCGCAGAATAGAAAACGGCATTTACTGCTTGCGTGTATCCCCAGTCCGGAATGAAGACCCGCTCGCCCGCCTGCACGGTTTAGAACGAAAAGCAGAACTTTCTGTCATAGCCAAGGCGCTCGAGGGTATCGTAGGACGTGTTCTCGAGCGTCTGTGGGCCACAGATGAAGGCGTACGTATCAGCAGCAGAGGGCGGCAAGTGCTCGGCCATCATCGATTCGCTCATACGGCCCGTACCATACTTCCAGCCCTCGCGCACCGGCCCGGTCACAGTGTACCACACTCGGAAGTTGGAGTGCTTTTCTTGCCACTCGTCGAGCTGATCCTTGAGCATGATGTCGGACTCGCTGCGATTGCAGTAGATGAGAGAAATGTCCGTGCTGTCTTCGGGGTCTTCGAGAATGGCACGTATCACCTGGTAGATGGGCGTGATCCCGGTGCCTCCGGCGACCATGGCGAATTTCCTCGCCTGCTTCGGGGAGTTGTTCACGTCGAACTGCCCCTTGCCTCGGTAGTGAATGTGGCCCAGAGGTCCCTTCACCATGATCGACTCGCCGATGTTCAGACTGTCCAAATGCTGCGACATGAGCCCTCCCGAGGGATAGCTCTCATTTTTGAAGTAGATTTTGACCAGTAGATCGAAGTAGCCCACATCCTTATCGCAGCTGACCGGAGTGTAGGCACGCATGACGAGCCTGTTGTTGATGTTCGCAGCGATCAGCACGTGCTTGCCCACCGGCAGACCCAGAATGTGCTCCTTGCTCTGCAGACCGAATCTCAGCTTGCAGATGTTGGCGCTCAGCTTCTCCTTCTCGACGAGCTGGAACGAAATGCGTTCCTTGGGATTGAGAGCCACGGGTTTCGCGAGCACGGGCGGCAGCTCAGATATGGGCGTGAGGTACTTGAAATTGCTGCCGCCACGAAGCGAGCCTTCGGGCGTCGAGCACGCAGAGAAGCTATCGTACTCGCTCTCGGCGATCAGCTCCCCGATTTTGTACTTCTCGAGCATGGCCTTGGCTTTGTCGGAGTGGATGGCATCGAATTCCTCGGTGGCATCGGTGCCGGCCGTGAGGAGAATGCTGTCGACTCCGCCCGGATGCTCCTGCAGGAAGCCCGTGCAATCATAGACCGAGCCGTGCACGACGATCCAGGCCGACTCCGAGTGCGTGTGCCGGCGCACCTCGATCATCGAGATCTGGCGGACGGTCGGCTGCCGGAACGACGGCGTCGACGAACTCTTCACCATGGTCTTCTTCGCCGGAACCGGCTCGACCGGTTGCTGCGCCTTCGAGTCCGCCCCCTTCTTCAGCTTCGCCATCCACCCTCCGGCCTGGTTACCGGGACACGTCGGATGCTCGAAGCTCAGACCGATTCCTCCCGCTGCCGTCTTGCACGCTTGCACTTTCACCCGGAACCAGTTGTTGTTCATCATTCCCTGCCAGAACGGACGGACGGACGGACGGGCGTAAGAATACATGTGAACATCATCGTGTGGCTCGGTCGAGCGAGAGATTTCATAAGAGTCCTTGCTAACCATCGATCGGTACGTTCAAGCGAAAGCCATGCACATAATGGATGGATAAATGGATGGACGGACGGGCGTTAAGATACATGTGAACATCGTGGTGTGATTCGGTCGAGCGAGAATTTTCGTGAGTGTCCTTGCGGACCATCGATCGGACGTTGCGGCGAAAGCCATGCACATAATGGATGGAAGGAAGGACGGACAGACGGGCGTAAGAATACATGTGAACATCATCGTGTGAATCGGTGGAGAGAGAATTTTCGTGAGTGTCCTTGCGGACCATCGATCGGACGTTCGAGCGAAAGCCATGCAGTCAATCGATGGATGGGGACGTACCATAACGTTCCACGTGAGGCGATCGGCTTGGGTGTTGAGGGCCGAGTCCCATGCACGCACGACCAGCTCCTTGGACTGCAGGAAGTCCGTCACGTCGACGTCCAGCTCCCACAGAACCCAGCACCAGTACCTGCCGTGCTTCGTCGGGCGCTCGGGCCGATCGATGTCGCACAGTCGCCAGGTCTCGCCCGCATCCAGCGACACTTCCACTCGCGTCACCTTCCTGCCTCCTCCTGTGGGGTCGGTCCGGCACATTCATTGCACACAATCGTCAAAATTCTGCACTGAGCAAATGTTCCATCGCAAGGGGGAGAGTGGGGAAGGCTTTTCGAGCTGCTGGGCACTTTTCGGTGGCCACCTGCTACTGCACGACTGGTCTGCTGGAATTGGCAAAGTGCATCGTCTTGTCTCACTGGGTTCCGCATTGCCAAAGTACAAAGAGAGTCCGGCGTGATTACCGGTGTAAGCGTAGCCTTTGACCGTGTAAGGCTTCTGAATCGAATCGAATGGCAGCACCTCGTTGTGCGCCGGTGTGGTTATGACCGAGTTTATATTCAGCTCGTTGATGATGTAGTCCGGCTTGTACCACCACCCTGCAGTCGAAATCGGAGGTCAGCACTCAATCTCAGAACCAGATTGCAAACCCACAAATAAATATCGCTCAGAATCAGATTTCACGAAGGGATTCGGAAAGAGCCGCACCCTCTGCTTTAGCCGTCTCAGCGTCCACATGCGAAGGAAGCACGCGATTGTCGTTGTAATGATAATGGTTTCCCGACTCTTGGCTCGTAACGGAGATCGAAGTGAGCCACTTGACCATGCGTCCTCCGATGTGCCCGGGAATAATCATCCTCAAAGGATAGCCGTGATCTGGTTCCAGACGTCTTCCGTTTTGTTGATAGGCCAATATGACGTCACACGACTCGTCCAGCGCTTTCTCGATGGTAAGACTCGTTCCATATCTGCAAATGATCCCACCACGATGGCACAGGTTTAGCATTCTCGGCACCGACAGATATGATTCCGATTGGTATCGATGCATGCACCAAAGTTCGAGGCAAAAATCGCATATCTGCAGAATTGTGGTCACTAAATATTTCGACAGTGAGAAGTGGTCACTGTGGGTCGGAGAGTGGAGGTCAGATGTGTTGAAAAGCGTGCACGAGCGAGCAGCTCGTGTATCTTCGATGCGTTCTCCTCCATATCCACTTTTCGCTGAAAGGAAGAGCGGATATGGATTGACCCGGGTACGAGTACGCACTCGGGCTCCTGCTCCGATGACATAACAGTACACTACGGAACTCATACGCACGGAATATTGTCTGAGCAGAAGCTGCGCTGGGGCCGGGCAAGCTGACAAAATATGAGCCTGAAGAACGTGCTGTTCAGAAAAGATGCGCAGTGGCTACACTTGCCTACAATTCGGCATAAGCACTCTGTCCTATCGCGCAATGCGTCAGCAGCATCTGTGTCAGCTGCCAGCTACCACCCGATGCATCGCGAATTCGAATGTCATTCCAAGGTTCCCTCAGACGATCAGATACTGAAGAATCCAGCGACTTGGAAAGCGGAGTGTCCACATACAGGACTCTTCTTCTTCCTAGACCCGTAGCATTGATTGATTGATTGACGACGACTGCAGACGATGGCCGGCGAAAAATCTCACTGTACGAAAACAGTATTGCACAATTCATAGCGCAACCGAGGAGCTCAGATCGCGGTTGACTGAAGTCGCACGCAGCACGTGGCTGCAGCATTACCTCCGCTCACAGCCTTGCTGTCAACCGCTCGGACCGATCGAAGAAACTATGACGAAAAGAGAGCCAATTCTGCTTCCAAGGATCTGGAAAGATTGAGATTGCGTTCCGTGGACAGAAATCCTAATGGCGCTGGAATCCCCGCATTCGTTGCCAAATTGTCCACAGTTAAAAGAGGAGAATCCACACCGCGACAGCTACGACGGTCACAGATTCCTCATCCCACCACCACCAGAGTAGAGTAGTTCATCTCCTTATCCTCCACGTGAACTTCCCTCCCGGCGATTCAGATTCGACATCGAGAATAAATGAGCACCGGAGCATTATCTTATGAATTTTGAGGCGGTCAACCGACTTCAAATCATTTAATATGCCCAACCATTTGTCACGAGGACGACACAGACAGAGAGAGAGAGAAAAGGGAATACTCACTTGGTACCGCCGGCTGCAGGCAAAGTCTCAGCGCCCTCGAAGCACACGTAACGAGCTCCTTTCTTTCTCGACATCACGCCGCAATATCGAAGCACCTCGCACAGGCGCACTCCTTTCCAGACGGAGGTGCTCACGGCAGCCGCTCCCCAATTGAACCCAATACTCTGCGCAGTCATATTCTGCTCCTTGCGCCGATTGCCGGCGCACACGAGGGTGCACGGGAACTCCCTCTGGGGGAATTTTGTCACCAAATCCTGCATGCTGAGCTTCATCGGCCTTTTGACAAGTCCGCTGACCTCGAACTTCCAGTTGTCCCAGTCTCCGTGAGGAACATAGCCATGGTTTCGGACGTAATGTATGGATGCCGGGGTGATGAATCCGTGCTCCATCAGTGCGGAAAGAGGAGGTTCGCAATTGAACGGATGCCGCCCTGTCAGACGAACGAGAGAAGGGTGACGCTGAATCCAGTCGTCCGATGTGCCCAGGTCGCGAGAATCCACTCCATAATTCATGTCTTGGACGGACATTTTATCCTCGGGATACACCCAATCCACGTGCTCCTCGTCCTCGTCCTCGTCTTCGTCCTCGGTCTCGCTTTCCTCTGGCCCTGCCTCGATCCTCTTGAACTTTGGCCCCTGATCGTGAAGATCGTTTCCATATTGCTCGAACTTCTCGTCCGCATGCTTGGCTTCCCCATAGCGGCTGGAGTCGTGGACCTGTTGACATTCTCCCTCCGAGCTGTCGCCCTCGGAATTCCCCATGTAGCTGGCGTACGAGTTGTTCAGGTCATCTGCAGAAGGATGAGAAATCATTTTGTGGAGAGGAGGCTTGCCGAAACTCGCAGTCCTGCCGAACTCGGACACCTTGGGACTGAGGATCGAGCCGCCGTGAATTTGCAGCCCAGAGATGGCAATCGTGGGCTTGGCTCTGGACCTGGACTGGAAACCCTCTGCAGCGGAGGTTTTATAAGCGGACGCGCTATTCACGTCGCCATCCTTCTCCAGAGAGTTCAGGGTCACTCCCATGACTCCCATGATCGCGAGCTCCTCGAGCCGGGCAGAAGGATCACCGAACGCAAGCGCCGCGGCTGGACCGTGGTAGGGATAGGCGATGATATCCTCAGACTCTCACGCATCGGCTGGCGGAACGATGACGAGCACAGCTCTTCAATCCGGCCAAGGGATGATGATGATGATGATGCAGCTGCGAGTCCTGAGAGAGAACTGAGTCAAGTGTCGAGTGTCAACGAGATCAGCTGCTGCTGTGTGCTGTACATGAGAGCCCCGCTGTGTGGGCGAAGAAGGCAGACAGGGAGCAATGTTCCTGACGCCAGTATGCAGCTTATATAGTGCGGGCGATGAATAGGCTGCCGTACTCCACCCTCAGGCCGCAGTACAATATCTGCAATTCCTCCAATTGCTCCAATTATTGAGAAATTGTCGAAAAAGCACGGCATGAGAATTACCACCTACTCTCTCGCTCTCGCGCTCGCGCGCGCAGACTTTGACACCCGGGCTCGGGGCAGGCGAATTCCCCTGTGCTGGACGATGTCTCGGTGCGCGATAGGAGGGGGAGGCACTTGCCCACCCAGCCTCAGGGTGGCCCCGGGCCCAGGGCGATTATTAGCTCAGATCCCGCTCCAGCCGCCCATTGGTCCTCGGCAAGCAGAGAAGGACCTGGCCAGTAGGGCCTCCGTTGGTTCCTGTGTATTATATTATGCCCGGACTGAATCGCAGCTCGACGTCTGATCTCATTTTATTTGCGACCTGCTGCTGGATCTCGTTCTGAGCGCGGTGGGGGCCGAGCTTGGAGCTTTTCCTGCACACCGACGAGATTCGTGAGCCGGGCAAATCCGCCGTTCGGATTCGGGGGCGATGTATTTCGCAGCCCGACGGGGCTCCGGTTCGGGGGTTTATTGGGCTGGTTCCGCGGTTACTATACATAGTAAATTCCGCTCCCGGGTCTAGGTCATGCGTCCGGATTTACACCGTCGTTTGACTATTCTCATGTCCGCAGCAGCGAAGGCAGACCGGTTCGCGAAACGCTCCGCCATTTGTTGACCTTCTGGTCCCGGACCCCGGGGCCCCACCGGACAGTTTGTTTGTCTCTTAGTCCTGTGAGCAACGGGGTCCGGACCCGGCGGTAGATTTACTTCTCCAGCAGCAGCTGTCCGTATTATGTTCGTTACCGTGGTTCCTCTCGCGCTCACTGCGGTGCCAGCCTACTCCGTCGCCCGCGGTAAGTTCTGCTCTCCGCCTTCTCTTTACCACGTTCCGATTCTCCGCCGGCTGGATTCAGCTAGATTCAGCTCCCCACGGAGCTCGACGGCCAGAACGGGGGCCCTTCGCCGTCGGGAAGTTCACGTGGAGTGCGAAAGTCGTGATTCGCAGGGGTTGCACTCTCTCGTTCGGGGATTGTGGAGACGAACTGCGGCCAACAGACGAACTGCGGACGAACAGGCGAGGCGAATTTTCGCCACGGCGCAGAGCAGTCGCCGTCGGGCCACGCGGAGCGGGGCGAGCGAGCGCCGTGGTTCGTGGCTCTCAGCAGGACCCGCGGGCTAAGAGAGCCCATGCGGCGGCTCGACGGTCGTGGCCTCTGACCGCTGTTGGGAAACCAGCGGTGAGAAGCTCGAGCTCGAGCGGTATCGGGCGCGGGACGCCAGCCCAACCCAGCGAGCCCGCCCGGGGTTGAGTTGACCCCAGGGCCGGGCGCCGCGTCGCAGAGACAGGGTACGCATGAGACGCGGCGGCGGGGCGGCCCGGTCAGCCCTGCTCGATGTCCCAAAGGGGCTACTTGCTGCCGCAGGTTGCCCCGGACACAGGCCATGCGCACCTCTTCCCAGCTCAGCGGACATCTAGGCCCCCGAGGACCCCCGCCCTACGGCGACTCGCATCACACCTGAGTCGGATCGATCGATGCTCTCGCAGTGGCTATGCGGACTGCGGAAGCGGAGAAACTGAAGGCGGCCCCATCGCTGTTCTGGCCGTCGAGTCTCCTCGCTCGCTCGCTCCCTCCAGCAGCAGCTGCTGGTTGCTTCGCATGTCCAGAGAAGCCTTTTCGTATCTTCGGCTTGCATGGACCAGAAGAATCGAAGATCTGCAACCGTGCAATCGGACAGCTCGGCTCGCCATCGCTGCTGTATCCATACCTTTTGTGCCGTAAAGACCATTTGGACACGGCACACCCCGGCCAACAGTGATCTTGGCATATTACTGCGCTCCCTCTTCGTCCATGGCGCTCTATTCTCTCTCCGTCGCCTGCAACAAACAAAAAACGCCTTTCCTCTCTCTCTCTCTCTCTCCACATCCATATTTCGTTTTTGTGGTTTTCCCGTCGAGGTCTGCAGCGATGCCATGTTTCCCAGCATCGCATGCGTACAAAGCCCCGCAGTCGAGAAACTCACAGCTGAACTCCCAAAGTGGAAGGAACTTAATCGACCTCTTCATGAGCAGTACAGAGCACTCTAGTCTGATTTGTACGATGCGTGATGTATATTGACGATAGGTCAAATATTGAGACTGAACGATGACAGGTAACAGAAAGTCAGAAATGGATTGAAGTAATCAAGTCAAATGCTCAAATACTGATTTGACATTTAGAAGTTGTAAAACTCAACAACGATAGTTGTTGGAGCGAACACACTCGACGAATGCCATTTTTCATGGGCTCTTATTCAATTTTTTCTTCGTGCCCAACGCTGGCATCCTTGACTTGCTTACTACTAAGCATTCTTTGTTGACACTCATTCGGAAACTGGAAACTGGTTCCTGTTTGATTCCACCAAACGACGATAGAGCAGTCCAAATTCCAAACGAAGACTTTTGTGGATGCAGTATTTTGCTTCAGTACGTATTTTGCTTTACTTCTCATTTGACCTCTTCCTTCTCACCTTCCCCACTTCAGTTTGGAATCTATAAGTAGGCTTCAGATAATCGAGTTATGGCGTCTCTTCTTGTACACCTCAAGCTGTATTGAGATTATCCATAATGCTCATCGTGTGACGTCAAACTAAACTTTGTCTTATTCTCAAGGGGAGTGAGTTCCCCTTGTAAGCTACTCAAAATGGTAAGAAAACATTCTACGTGCACTTTTTAGAATAGGCAATCTCGTTAGAAGATTGGACTGAATATGAATCGGTTAGAGACGGACTTAATCAGGTCTGTCTTTTCAAATTGCATGACATATTCTCATGAGCACCAACTATGTGATAATAAAAAAAATTACAATTCGATAAAAATTTTGACATATTTTCAAATTTATAGTTTATTTAATTTTCTACCTTGTTGATGTTATTTAAAACCCAAAAAAGTTCAATTAATTTCTTTAAACTAAATGATTGGAACAAACACAAAGCATCTATCATATATTGATATGAACAACAAACAAATTTTTTAAACCGAATTATTGGATGAACCTCATAAGAAAAGAAAATCATGAATTTTTTTTGGCTTTGCATATGTATGCATATCTTAATAACCTCTAAATATCTCCTAGCATATATATGTGAATTAAAAATTTAAATCTAGATAATATTTAAATATATGCATAAATATAAATATAGATTATATTTTATATAGGATAATACTTTGTTCAATATTTTAATTTTTAAAATCTTCAAAGATTGCTATTTTTCTAACCTTAAAATCACTTCATTTACTTATTATATGTATTTTATGATATTTCCTGCTGTTTTATTACAACGGAGATATATATTTATTAAAATATAATGAGTTTCAAAAATTTTTGCTTAAAGTGGATTGTTGCATTCAATAATTTCTGTTTATAAAATCATGTATCATAAAAAAACTATATATATTTTTTAAGTGTGTGCCAGATTGAAAGTTTTATGTTAGCATGAATATATTTTTTTAAATCAAATACAATACATTCAATGTTAAGAATAAAATATTGTCAATGTTGCTCTATTCTTTCTCTTAAGGAAGAGAAAAAGTATCACTTGTGTTTTTTTTGTTGAGGCAAGAATCACAACTTAAAAAATTGCTATTTGAAACCTAAGGAGTCAAAGACGCAAAAGTTTTGGTACAACTCAAGCATTTCTTAGCCAAGACTTAAGATGTTAAGGTTAACTCATGTGTTTTGGATTGACATTTGGCTACCTAAGTTTAACTAGCTCATCGTTTGTACCGGAGATATTTAAAACCAAGGCTTCTTGACTATAATAACTCTCTTCACATGTTAATTATAAGTCCTGTATTCTCTAGCCGTGGACGTAGCAATTCTGTGGTGAACCACGGTACATCTTGTGTCTTATGTTTACTTGCTATGCTGACTTGTTTCGCTGTCACTTGTATTTATTGATTCTTGGTTTATCACTCACACTAGCCATATTAGGTACTATGCAGCTAACAAATGCTGCCACATCATGAGTTCTATTATATTCTCTGAAAATTCTTATTGTTTTATCTTGCTTAAAATAGATTTTCATCCACGTAGAGAAAAATTTAAATTTTTTTTTAGATTATGAAGTCTTTGCTTATTTTATTGATAAAAATCTTATAAAATGCTATAATATTTCTATAGTGACTAAGAAATATCTTGTCAAAGTAACAATTATTGACGTGAATCTCTTGATTTCAACATACATATGTCATTTACAAAACTAAACTCTCCTATATTTTCATGGAAGAACATCATAATACTATTGCATTCAACATCATTGATCAACATCAACTCACTCTAATCTTGTACTCAATCTTTCTTGGATAGAGATGATCAACCCCCATATAGATTGAAAAATGCAAAAGCTAACATATCAAATCATAGTTTCTCATATTTTGTCTAGATAGTCTAGAAATATTTCAAATCCGAATCCGAGGTCAAAATTCCGTTGATGGTAGGTGCTCAAACCTTTATGAAGATGACCAAGAATGGAAATATGTTTGCAATTTATGCAATCTAACATCTCAACATGTTCAATGACCAATCAAGTTATCAATAGAATATGACGATTATCAAGACTTGTTTGAGAAGAAGAAAAAGATTTATACACTTCCTCTGCATCAATCTTATGATCGTGACATTGAACTTCAAGAAGTTGCGCAACCTCCCTTTGATCCAATCTACAGCCTTTCATTGATCTTATGATTGGGACATTGAACTACAAGAAGTTGCGCAACCTCCCTTTGATCCAATCTATAGCCTTTCATCGATCTTATGATTGTGACATTGAACTTCAAAAAGTTGCGCAATCTCATTTTGATCTAATCTACAATCTTTTTCAGAATGAGCTTTTTGTAGTGTGAGATTATCATGATAAAAATCTCACAAAAACTTCATTTGACATTGCAAGTCACATGCTAGAGCTCCTATCCATTTGTTAAGGAGAAAAACGCCTCTCATTGGATGTGCATGGATTGTCATGAACTAAACAAGATCAAATTCAAGAACCGATTTTTATAGCCGATTATTTCAAGACTTCTTGATTAATTCGTTCAAGCAATCGTCCACTCCAAAATGATCTTTATGAAGCTTACAACCTAGTATATATCAAGGAAGATGAAAAATGGAAAACAGACTTTTGAACTAGATATGAACACTTTGAATACAATGTCATACTTTTTGACCTTATCAATACATCTATCACCTTTCAACACTTGATGAACGACATATTTTGAAAACTTCTCGACAATTTTGTTATTTGTTTGTTGTCTGTTATCTCAACAACATATTGGGTTACTCCAAGAATAAAAAAAAGCACATCAATCATGTCCGACTAGTATTGGAGAAGCTGCGCATTGTTGAATTACAAGGGAAGTTCGAGAAGTAAGATTTCCACCAATTCCAAGTTAAATTTATGGGCTATATCATTTCTAGAGAATTACACGCCAAGCTGGAGAAGCAAGATTTCCATTAATTCCAAGTTAAATTTATGAGCTTTATCATTTCTATAGAGTATCTATATATGAATTTAAAAAAGATTTGAACAATCACCGATTGAAAAACATCGGTTACTATTTGAGACTTACAATATTTCTCAATTTTGCAAATTTGTATTGAATTTTCATCCGAAACTGTTTTAAGATTTGCTGCTCTATTGATCTGATTGATTTGCAAAGACAAGCTCAAGTGTAATAGCAATGCAGACCAAGCATTTGAAACTCTAAAGAAGATGTTTACAACGGAGTCTATTTTGATGCATACTTAAATCTAGAAGTCATTATTTCCTAGAAATGGATGGATCTAACTTTGCCCTTGGAGAGATCTTTTCACAACCCAAACACATATAGCTCCATCTTGTTGAGCTTCACTCACACAAATTTACTGCTATCAAGAGATTTATGAGATCCATAACAAGGAGCTCTTGGTCATCGTTGACTTGTTCTAAGAATGATGTCATTTTTTCAAAGTAGTTCAACATCCAATCAAAGCCTACATCCATTATAAAACCTTGAGTGTTTCATGTTGGCCAAAATACTTAATCAACAACAATCTCGTTGGAGTATATTGCTTTTGAGTTTCAACTTTGTGCACTTCGACTTAATCAACAATTTCAGCTGAAGACTATGTGCATCACAATTTGTGTGTATGCTTTTTTTTTCCAAGATATTTGAGTAAATTTGAACTCTGATACTTTGGCCTTAAAATTCAAAAACGTTGACATCTTCAATACTAGAAAATTTTCAACTCCAAGCTCCGAGTTACAAATTTGTAAGCTTCAAATCAACTTATTATCAATTCACATGTTCCAATATTGCATGATGTTGATCCAAGATTTGAATTCTAATATGGACTGTTATAATACCAATGATTACTTTATGTCTTGAAGATTCATGCCAATTCAAAGTGTTTTAATATCGACATGATTTTTCATCGGCGAAACACTTTGATGTCAACAAGACTATGGAATTGATATCCAAAGACTTTTGTTGATAAAAATTGTGGAAAAGTGTGAAGTGTTATGTCACAATATGTGACATCTATTGTAGATACAAGATCTCTTATCATCAAATATAGAGATTATTTCAATCGATGCCGAAACCAAATTGTAAAACATCAAAAGTTCAAATTTTTTTGGCAAATTTTTATTTTGTTGAAACTCTTGACAAAGACAACATAATCTGTGACTTGCAAGAAGACTATCACACGTAAATAAATGGCACAAATTTTTTAGACAATGTATATAAATATTATGGATTTTTTGAGGATAACATCTCTGATTGTGATATGCAACTCATGTACTTGTTCAAAATCCTTGGCAATACTTCTTTAAAATATTACAAGTGAAAATCAATCTATCATTGACATATTATCCTAAAACGGATGAATAAATTGAACAATTGAATCAAGTATTGGAGCAGTATTTAACATGCTTTATCAAGTAACATCAAGATAATTGGATGTATGTAGTTTCAATCGTAGAAGTTTTTTACATCAATACATATCAAGAGTACATCTATCAAATTTTTGCATTTTGCAAACTATGCATATCATTCACAATTTGATTCTTTGAACTTGAGTTTAGCAAAAAATTTCATTGCGCAAGATTTCGTCACTAAAATTTGAAAATCCACAAAGATATAAAGTCAAAATCTGAAATGCAGACAAATTTTAAAAGCAAAATTTGAACATCTCGGTTGGAAATATAGTTTGGCTTTTGCGTCGCAATTTCAAAATTTGTCAACCATGGAACAATTTGAATATTTTGATCTTGGACCTTTTTTTTCTCAGTAAGCATATCAATAAGGTACAAATTTGACCTGCTGTTATCTATGACAATTCAACTATTGTTTCATGTTTCCTTGCTTGAAACATATAAAAAATCAACTATTTCATAATTGCTATGAACAACAATTTTAAGTCTCTAAGATCATAGACTTTTACATCAATTGAAGTAGATTAGAACATCTTGTACATTGGAAGTACTATGAAGTAAGGGAACTTGAAAACTTGATGATATTCTTGCTAAGTCTTCTAAAATGATCAAAAAATTTCAATTTCATCGTCAATATCCAAGTGAAAAAGATATTTGAATCCAACATATCTCGACCAACACCAACATTGAATCAACCTCTAATCATATGTCTATCACATGAACTTATGATAGATTTTTAATTTTTGTTTTTTATAAAATAAATATAAAAATATATGGGAATATGTTGCTTGAAGGAGGGTGATGTCATGAACATTACAGTATATTGAATCAACAAGCTGTTTTATATGACTATCACATGTACTTCTTGTAATAGATTTCTTGTTTTTGTTTTTGAGAAGATAAAATATTTATTTTTTTTGAGAATACCCTGCTTGAAGGGTGTGATATAATGAACATGACACTAGATGTGACGGTGCTGAGGTGACATACATTCGTTGACTTTTTCCAACTTCTCAAAGGTGTATTTTTCGAACTTGGAATGCGATGCCAACTTTTCATCTTTAGAGTTTCTGGAGATGTCCTAGCAGTATAAATAGACAGTCTTAGGACATTGTCTCTCATTCTCAGTGTCAATACCATTTTCGCTTCAAGTGTTTCTATTTCTAGTTTTGAGTTTTACTACTTCTAATTTTGGAGCTTTAAGTCTTATTCCAAATCTTAACAATTATCTAATTTATTATAAAAAAATTATTTTGTACTATATCTTTTTTATGAAAAAATATACAATTATCATTGTCATCGATATTCACATTTTGAATACTTTTATTCAGATAAAAACTTGGATGTGATGGTTAGTTCAAATCTTCATATGGAGTAAATTCAAAGAAATATAGAGAAACAACAACAACAAAATTAATGAAGTCAGAGATTTAATTACTTTTATGGGGTAATCACACATGCTTTGGGGCAAGTTTTCCACTCATGGATCTAGAAGGGTAAAAACCGTTTAAAACCCAACCACAAATAGTACTGCAAGTTACTGGACTGTCATTACGACGTGGAACACCGGTTTTCTGCAGAAAGTAATCAAATTTTCGCTTGTTCAAACATTCTCATTGCTCATTTGTGAATGTGAATGAATGCGTAGATGATGTATATTGATCAAAATGTGAATCAATATTTTGTATTATATTTTATTATATTGTTGTAAAATGTAATATAACGCTCGCTATTGGCAAGCATCTTCCGACTTCGGTCGCAAAAAATCCTGGGATCTTCTTTCAGCTCCTTCTCTAAATGAAGGTTAGGTTATGAATTATTGAGTATCAACGCATCTATTAATTATTGTTGAACTATTTCTCCATCTAAGTCAGTAACACACTCAAAGGATAAGTGAAACCTTCCAGGTTTGATAGATTAAAATTGGCAACATGCAGGAGCAAATTCAACGTGCTAGGAAATCCAAAGAATCATGTAGCAATAAGTTCTTTGGTCATAAAGCACCTAGCAATTGCTTCAGTTAAATCATTCATACTCTACCGTTAAATTCTGACTCAGATCTACATTCTACCTCTGCATCGAGTTGACAACCCCTCTTATATCGCATACTTAAGACTTACTGAGGTAACACAGGCTTCTGACAAATGCAACACCTGGCTAAGGGCATCAGGCCGGGTACTTGATAATTACTGCACACAGACAGTAATTCCACATCTTCCTGTTGTCTAAGCTCGAAACAGTACATGTTGTCCCGAAGCCTATCTACCATGCGGGCACTTGTGAGGGCGATTGAGGCATCATTTGATAGGATCCAGAAACTCTCTCCTCTCCTATGCAACTGCTCGCGGGCTTTTATCTACATGGTCAGCATTTCTTCTATGGTTTTAATAGTGATTTCCATTCAGCTATTTTCCATGCTCTTTCTTCCTACTTGCGATTGATACCTTTGAGAATATATATCAGCACATACAAGTGTTCAGGGGTAGTCTGATACCAATGTTCGCTTCGACAAATGCGCCAGCAAATAGGATGTTTGCCTTGATGCTTACTGCGACCTAGTCTATAGAGGAACTGATTAAGTAAATGGCAAACCTTCGAAGTCACCAGAAGAGGCGATATCCATGATACGCATTTACTCCTCTAGATTTCTACGACACCGAAAATGACCTGACACACGAGTAGCTTCGATCCGCAGCACTCTGAGTCCCAGGAAAATACACGATAAATCATTGGTCCTTGACAATATAAGACGGCCATAATGCATTTCCAAAAGGTGGAATTTTATCAAAAGTCGACGCCTTAGAAAAATACCATCACTGAGCATATTTACTATAGAAATGTAATCAAAGCTACTACCGGTTTCTATGTTGTCGTCCCTGGTCATACTTCAAAAGGACAAATGGAGGACTTCGCTGGCTTATAAATTTCTTCTGGGGTACTGTCACTATTCTCTCCCTAATTTGTACCTCATGACATGGGGACGACGGGTCCAGTCATGAGGCAGAAGCGAGGGAAAAGAGGGACACTACTCAGATATATTGCCTCATGTGCCTCAGTCTGCTATACGGGACGATACATAAAACATAAGATACATACAGTCACAACATTCCCTGCGGAAACACATCAATCAAGAATACGGTACCATTCTACTTGTAAAATTAGAGTTCAGATTCAACGAAATACACGGAGAAAGCTCTCCAATTTTCAAAAGGCAATGTTCATTAATAACTGACCTGCTGCTCTCTTCGAAGTTGTCCTCTTTGATCATAATCTAAAGTGAATATCTCAGAAACTTAGCGGGTTATCTAGAGTTATGCTTAAGTTGTCTCTTCCCTAAGCATCACGTCTAGGTGTTCAGCCTGCTCTATGGAACGATATATACAACCAAAATAGTCCTGCGGAAAAAACACTTCTTGATGGAAAACACGGCTCTATTCTAGTTTTCGAAACAATTTCAATTTCTCCAACAAAATAAATGGAGAAATCTGATTTAAGAGTTAAAACACACCTGGGGAACAGAAATCCGATCTCACCTCTGACTAAAATCTCGACTTCTTGCTACAACTCAATAAGTGGTCGTAACTCCCGTGCTCGAGAGCACCTTCCACTGGATTAACTTTTCAAAACGTTCTCGTATAGTTCAAGCAGGTCCAAACCAAAATCTGCTCTCACTGGGCGTAAAAAAAGAAAACCCCCATTTCGGCTCAAATTTCTCAAAACATGCTGATTTGTCATCCATACAACCTCTTCTTACCCTTCTTGACGTCTCTCTTGTGATTCTTATAATCACTATTCTCCTTCGCAAGCCTTTTCCACATTTTTGGTATGTCCGCTTTGCACCTGTTGATCGAGCTCTGGACTACCATATTCCTTGTCTCTTGGTCCTTGCAAAGCTTTTCAGCAGCCCTTGCTTCAAGCTCACTCTTATTTGCCAGGGCTCGGGCCCGTTTTATTTCCAAATTAACCTTCTCCATTTGATTTTCAAGCACCTGCTACAAATCTCGCGAATTTGGGGCGAAGGCAGTCCATTTCTTACTTGACAGTTGTGGGGAGAAAGACGAAGAACAAAGATAAACAAGTAAAGGCCAAGTCCCTCCAAAGGGAAGACTCGGTCAAATAAAGTATCATATAAAGCTTTAGGGTGCGCAATAATCTCGTGTCTACTCGATCAACTTTCGATGATCGATCCAGCAGACTGCAAATTATACAGCCTAGAACACCTGGTGTAAACATAAAAAATATAATCCTCCATTCCTTGAAACTAGAATAATTACCTGGCATGCGAATGGTCCAGTGTCTACGAGGTGTCACGCAGGGCGTTTACTGAAGCCACTTGAGTAAAATCAAGAGGAAACAGTACGACTCCACAGAAGAGAAAATAAAAACACGCCATGTAAAACTCAGTTCTAGAACCGACCGACACTGGACCTGTATAGATTACAGAAGGCTACAGGTTCCAGGCATACAAAAGGTAGTAGATGTCATCCAGATCGTACAAATCCATATGTAACTTATGTAGTCGGTTGGATCTCCCACATCCAACACAGGCTTCAACGGTGACAATCTCCAATGATTAATAAAGAGAGTCACATTTCGTTACAAAACTTGCCAGGGTAGAACTTGCAGGGACCACAAGTTTTATAATATGACTTAGACCGCAGAGAACACTAAACGCTGTACATCCAGAGGCAATAAAGAAAGAAAAAAGAAAACTATAAGAAGACAGTAACAATTTCTCTGGAATCAACTTATATAGATACTGCGAGACAGTTTTTCCTGAGACAAAGAAGTGGGAAGAATCCTAGGTCACTATTACGTACACTTCAAGTAAATCAGAAGATACAAATCGATTGTAAAGCATAAATTAAGATTAGTAATCTAAAGAACGAACAAAGTTAAAAGCTACGTACAGTAGTCCAGGAACAGTAAATCAATACCTAATAATATCAATATATAACGGTTGTTGGGCATTGCTATTATTAGATGTTCATCAAAACAAAGTGGAGATGCGGGGTATCGATCCCCGTGCCTCTCGCGTGCTAAGCGAGCGCTCTACCATCTGAGCTACATCCCCGCTTGAGGTGGGGGAGACCGAACAATATAATAGTCTTCCCGTTATACTTTACATTAGTTCCTCCTCTTGCTTCTATCTCAACAAAATAGTGTACATTGAAAGATAATTACTTTTTTGTTAGTGAAAACACTAACAAAAAAGTAATTAAAGAAAAATGTAATGAAGTTTAATAATACACTGGTAATACTAAACATGCGGGAGGGAGTACCAGAGGGAGCACAGCATAAACAGCAAGGGAAACAGTAGGAATCGTGAAACAAGAGATGTGTATGTAAAAAAGTGAAAGGTATAAGCAGAACTGTGTAGAGAGTGCAAGGGGAGAACAAGAATCTATCGGAAGGAGAACTGCAGAGGAAGAATGGGATACATTACGGGTTATTTGAAAAAAAAAAATCTAGAGGTGAAACGTTCTTGACATGCATTCGAGTGACGTTTAAAAAAAACGGAGCAGGAATTCTTATGCGTGTAGGCGGCGCCGTCAGCATAACAACGTGACTATATTAAACAGACAAGTCTAGGGATAACGATTGCATAAAATTGTAGGCACCAAAAAAGCCGAAAAACCGAAAAAAAGAAAAAGGGAAAAAAACAGAACAGAAAACAGCAAGCTTGAAAGAAAAGTTGTGGACTAAAAAATGAGCGAAATAAGTATCACCTATATAGGTTGAGCGTCTTAAGATCTGCAGGTGAGTGCAAACATCAGGGATGTGAAGGACATACATGTAACATATGAACAGACAAATAATAAGATTTTAATTGACCATGACTTGAGAATAAAAAGTGGAGTGGTATCGTCGGCCAGCACGGTTGATGCAACCGGAGCCGAGAGACCTTCCAAAACATCTGGATCCAACCATTGAATTGCCATCAAGCAGTCTGTTCCGAGGTGCATAGGTTTCTGCACAAATTCGCGAGGTAGGAGTACAGTAGTTTGCAACACTTGAATGAATGTGTAGAATAACTAACACAATCCAGCGAGTGTCATGAAGTAGCCTGGAGCTGCCAACTTCATGCCATCAAAATAGGCTTGCCACAGTCAATCCAGTCATCAACTTAGACAACTGTCGTAGCAGCTTTGTACAATGTTGACAATCTAAAATTGCGTAATGGCAAGTTCAACAAAAGATTGCTCCCACGGTTCAAAACAGACTTCATGGTGATAACAGAACAATGAGCGTAATAATGCTCAATGTATTGACGTACTTTATTCTAAGGTAAACGAAGATGTAATCTTACATCAGATAGTGAACCGACTAAACGAGAAACCCAGAAACCGAGTTAAAAAGCTAGAAAACGAACGTGTGGCAAACATGTCCAAATAAAACGATAATCTGTTACAATTTTCTGCATTAAACGATGATCTGATTTCAACTACTTGTAGAGATAGCAACACGTCCTTGAATCACATTCATACCTGAAATCAGGACAAGAATGTCCATAATATATTGCGTACAGATGTTTTCGAACCAAGATTTCTCTTAAGCTCTTCCAAGACAAGACGAACCTGTGCCTTCTTGCACAATAAGTTCAATCTTGGAGAAAGTCAAAGAGGAAGAAGTTGAGGCTGTGCGAAAGAAACGCAGCTGACTTTGGAAAGACAGTAATGAAGACTGATATTAACTCCTACTCTAATCCTCATCTGATTGTGGCAAGAGCTGTTGAAGACATGCATTCACAATTCTCTAGTTCATGACTAATCAGGTAATACTACGTTATAGACAGTGTGTACCCGGTCATTGGCCAGTTCACAACGAACCAGACAGAACCGGAATATGTATGTCATCTACGAACTGTCTGAGGTGTGAATTCAGTTAAGTCTTCACAACTTCAAAGGCTGCCCTTTACTGTGATTCTCTAGAGTTGAAACTTTAAAACAAAGTCATCTCTTTCCTCCCCGAACTTCGCAGCAAGCATATCGTAGCATTTTATAAGTCTACAAACGCAGGAGAGCAGAGGCAAGGCCTCGTTTACAGTACATCCTACGCCCGATACTCTTCCAGCGACTTCGCAGTACGCTATTTCTCATATCAGCCAAACCAGCCGGCTGGTTTACCCACTTTCTTTTTCATTTCCTTTTGATGTTGTTTAAATTTTTGATTCGCCCTATTATATTTTCCCTTCAATCTAGATGCTTCTTGTTTTTCATTCTCAATCTGACTCTGTAAAACTGTGGTCCTCGCTTCTAAACCTTTACATTTTCTCTCAGCCATCTTGGCTTCGAGGGACAACTCAGCTGCTTTAGTTCGGGCAGTTCTGAGTTCTGTATGCACCTTCTCCAACTCCTTTTCCACTTTCTGGAAACATGGACGTCAGATAGATGAGTGCACCAATCTGGCGAAAGCATACAAAGGAGCCATCTCTTTGGAGTGATAAACGACCAAATACTCTCCTCAACGACTTGGGCCTTCATGTTGGAGACCCGACTACGTCAACATAGATTCGTTTGTGCCTAGTCTGTAATGTTTCTAAAAGACTAATTTCTTCTACAAGTCTAAGTTCCTCTAACGGTCGACATACATCACAAACAGATATACAGGAAACGAACCTCTTTCTCGATTTCAAGACGATCATTTTCAGCCTCAGCTTCAGCAGCTTTATCTGCATATGGAAGTAATTCCTGGTTCACGGCCAATAACTCCTTGTGCTGTAAGCCCACTTTCTGTATTTGCCCTTTGAGCCTTGAAACTTCTCCGAGAAAAACATCTCTTTCAAACTCAATTTCCTGCACGCAGAGTAGAGCAGAGTTAAGTTCCATCCAAGTATATGAACAGAAATTCGACTGCTCGTCAGTTTCTTTGAAGAACTAAGGAGAGGGACGACTCATAGTACCTCGACAAGAAGCTGCCTAGGCGAACAAAGCACAGCGAGTTAATGTACGTTGGCAGTCTACTGCAAGTATCACCAACTATCCCTAAAATAGTGTCTATCCCCGTAAGCGAGAAAGCAATCAGAAACCAGCAAACTGAAAACTGAACAAACTGAAACCAACAAACAGGATCCTGAGCGAATTTCGAGCCGGGTGTGGTAACATACACCGGTCTCTTCTTTGTAAAAAAATTGACATCTGGCACATCCCTAGGTGCCAGATGAGCTAAAGAACTCTTCCTTCAGGCCATGACTTTCTCTATAACTTCACGAGTTCAGAGACAAAGTCAGCAATGAAATACCACGGGAAGTAAAAAAACAAGATAGGGAAAATCGAAGGAGGTAATGTAGCTGTAGGAGAAGCGTGGAAGAAGATATGAGGATATAAAACATACAGCGATCCAACTTCGTGCAGTAAACTGGGGACAACGTAAATATAAACTGGCCTGGATGAGTTTTAATTTTCTGAGGTCCCGCGACACGGCACCAGTAACAAACGAAGAATGAGGTTTCAAAGATAGTGACCGGAACAAAGCATATAAACGCATCAACGAAAACCTGAAACAAACGGAAAGCAGTAAGATCCAATGAGAATCGAAAGGAAGAACACCTCGGAAGAAACTGTTGTATGCATGAAATAGGGGTAGTTGAATGCAAACGAAACATCGATGTCTAGCTTCAAAATGCAAGCTTCAAGTAACATTTAAAAAAAAAATGGACAAAGCCAGAAATTAAAGAGCACTGAGGACCCGGATCCTCGATGCGCATCATAAGATCGCTCCATTAACCATTGATCACTTGTCGGAATTCGTGGGCGGTGATTTTTCCATTCCACAAAAGATTCTCTTCAACGCCCTATCAATGTGTTGAACTTACAGCAACTAATATGTGGTTCGTTTGAACTGAGGAACTCTTATCGTCTTATATATAAACGTTGAAGGACTATGTGACATGGATGAGACGGACGAAACCGGACTCACTGAGTTTCCTGCATCATGGATTGGTCATCCCAAAGTTTGCCTTCATGGTCTCACACGGAGAGGTAGGTAGACACAGAGGTATGCGAATAAAGTACTCTATCTGAGCATGGAGAGTATCGTCAAAGCCCACAGGAAAAGCACAGATGTAAGGAACAAAACTAACGTATTGAAAGACCAGAAGCATAAGCGAGCATCCAGAAATCAAATCACACCGAATGAAAGTGTTCAAATAGAAACTATGCCTCCGTAAGAGAAATCAGAACACAAGAAAATACTACAAGTTGACATTGAAAGGCAAAATTTCCAGCATGTCTTCACAATTCCAAATGTACATCCTCAATGCACGCATCACCATGCACGCGTCATAAGACTTATGAGCACAGCAAGAAATGCAATACTGACGCACCCACCATGCGTCCAGGTGGCTAGGTAACACTATAAATAGGAACTGGTATAGGAATTGGTATCTGCCCGTCATAGCTTGGACACTACTGACCGAAATAACTAGCTAGAAGTCAGTGGCCCTCGCCACGAGCATCGGTATTACTCGAGAGCAGCCAGGGGGTTGTATTATCGTTAATAAATGTAACAAAACCAGAGGGTATGCTATAGAAGTGAATGTATGAAATATGGTGGAGAGAAACAATCAAGATACATGTGGAATAGACCAAGTAAGCGAGCTATTGCCTTCGGTTATGAAAATAAGTAAAGAAAGGAGGAGAGGTAATGAAGCAATCTTTAGGACTCAATTTCTCATTCCAAACCAGCATGTAGCATTCTCTGATTTTTGGGAAGGAAACAAAAAAATAAGACGGGCAAGAAAGTCGCAGCCCACAAGTGCGAAACGATCCATCTACGACAGACCAAATTTCCTCTTCCTGTTCATAAGACCACCAAAAACTTGGCAATTGTGAATATCACTTCAACATACAAGCCAATATTCTCACATTTATTTCTTACCCTACAGTGAGACATACGACTATCATCTCGAAGCTTGTGAATCTCCTCATCTTGGGATTCAGCAATTCCCTGCATGTGTAGCAGCTTATTCTTCAAACCTGCAGAAGGGTATGCCTTCAGTGAACCCTCAAAAAACTGAGTTGCTCCGTAACAGAAATCAAAACCCCACAGTCTACGGTTTGCAATAGATCTTCCAGAAGAATCTTTGATCCACGTGAATCACCAACAGAATAAGCGAAACTCCAGTTAATTTGATCCACACGAGCAGAACTACGTCAGCTTGAGAGATGATTCAAACCCTTCAGAAATAGCCACAAGAGCTGTATTTCACTAAGCTTCAGTAAGTACAAAGGGTGTCACACCAAAGATGCGAGCTCGGAGGCGCATGCAGTGAGAAAGTCGCGTAGCTCGAGACTGACAGTTTGGTTTCTCCATATCCAAAATGTCCCTGTGCATCCTCCTGTTAACCAATTTTCCAATCCTTCAGTTTTTAGCTGAATAAGTACTTTCAACTTTGTGCATAGAGGTCTTACAAATACTTGAATCTTCCGAATACATGTAAGTATGTAGAATCTTATGTAAGTTTGACTCTATGATGGGTCGATAAAATACATAGACTCTTGTTTGTGGGCGACACACACAAGGCGTTTCGCCTTTGAAAGCGTCCATCCTTCTCAATGCCTAGGCATCCATCCAATGCATTATTTTTGATACAGTAGGAATTGAACCTACTTCACAGCCAACTAGGCATATCACTTGGATACTCCAAGAGAGAGAGAGAGAGAGAGAGAGAGAGAGAGAGAGAGAGAGAGAGAGAGAGAGAGAGAGAGAGAGAGAGAGAGAGAGAGAGAGAGAGAGAGAGAGAGAGAGAGAGAGAACATGTTCTCCATGTCAAGCATAGATGCTTGAATTTTGTAGTGGCGTAGATGAATTTGCTGGTCGAATAATGATCGCTTCAGATCCAAAATCTGCTCTAGCAACATCTCCTTATCACGACTTTCCAGTACTAGCTTCCGTGACACCTGAGAAATGACTTTCACTCGCGGTGAGCCTCCCATTTCGTCCGCAGGTGCCAGACCCAGACTGAGCGTTTGCTTGCCTCCAGACTTCACCACCCATCGACCTCCACTGTCTCCTGCCAGCTGTGGACAGGGCTCACCCGCATCCGACTCCCACTGAGCAAGCTTTACAGCTAGATCGAATGGCTCTGCGGAAGTTCCTCGCATAGCATTCATAATGCGTTTGTGCTGTGCGGCCGAGCCCGAACGCTCGATATGCTTCAAGATGGCGCATGGTCCAGCCTTTACACAGTCTTCATCATAATCCAGCAAACTCATCCCCCGGGCCGACAAATCCACGAACTGCGACATGATGCTCGCTGTGCAATATGACCACGAATGTGGCGCCTAAATTTCAAGCCGATGTCCGGCGACCCAAATCAGGCACGTCAGTGTCAAGCAATCCGCTCTTATAATCGATAGTCGACGTGAACCGCCCGCGAGCTCGGTGTCGTCAAATCGATCAACATTCTTGGCAATTGAGGGATGGAGCTCCAGACCTCCCTGCTGCTGACGACACAGCGTCAATATCACACCCACTGCAGGATCAATCTACACAAACAGGATACAGAGCTGCAGGACTGCGAACGTCAATCTCCAGCATGCCCACTTCCATTGCTTTACAAACCGGTCGATCCAGAATGGTCTCATAAAGCACAACTTCTCTCAGGCTGCATGGAGCTCGCCTCTCCGGCGAGACCGACCTCTCCAAGCTAAACGTAGGACTCGCCAAAACCTCTCCACCACGATGGAATTCTCAGACCTCGGAAACGGCAAACTCCAGATATGGGCACTCAGGTTGGTAGACAGTGGGGGCGGAAGCCCAGCCATCGGAAAGGAGGAGCCGAGGGCACGCGAGTTAGGAAAAGAAAGGGTGCGACGCTACCGCCCAGTGGGCGCTCAGAATCTGCAAAGCAATACATGCGCTAGTGACCATACACGAAGGGAAACCAGCTGATTCGATTCGTTCCTGCAGGTTATGGAGCAATGCAGCCCTTTCACACGGCATCTCAACCCGAAATTTTCCAGCACTTCCGCAATTCAATTCCAGAACTTGCTTCTCGTGCGACTTCCTGTCAGCCAAAATTCGACGACAGCCAGTCGGCATGTTCTATCCAAGAATTGTGCGATGCACATCCAAATCTTGGTTTCTCAATTTCTCCGGCACTGGTGCTCCGTGTTACCGATGTTGTCCGATTTGAGCACATGTTGTTTGTTTATAGCACCCATTCACGATTCGTGTTTACATTCGTAAACGCCCCATAGCTCGCGCACCTCGTTCCTCGTTCCTTGTTGAGATCAACCCTGTTCCTACGAGCGAGACGCCAATCCGTCAAGGCAAATCAGAGAGAAAATCCATGAGCGCTCGTTGCTTGAGAAGGTCTGGGGAATGTGAGAATTTGAGAATTTGAGAGATTGGCTATAATGAGTGATATAAAGTCTATGAAGTTAAAGGTGCGTTTGGCTTAATCAGTATATAACTATGAATAAAATGACCGGATTCTTCTGGTGGATATTTTAAGAGCAATAATTGAAGTGGTCTGTTTCACAAATTGACGCTCAAATGAGACTTGATTCAAACTCTAGCCCTCAAGTCCTCGTGCAAAACAGCATGAACTGTACGATTGCTTTGAGAGGCTTGCTTTGCTCCTTCATGCACACACCTATGTGAATGCCGCCTCATAATTATAATTATCCCACATCATCAATTTCACAGTAATCTACTGAATAATCACTACAGCTTACGAGACATAGCAAGCTTCATGATCTATGGATCAAGACCAAGGATGGAATGAATGTGATATCTTCTTTGTTTGATGTTGTGTCAAATATGTATTGACAGTTATAATGTACATTTCTTTCCGGGTCGCTTAAAATGGTTGAAATTTATCTCTAGCTCCGACATGTCATGGCAGTTTTCAAGGCTCTCCAATGATACTGTCCATCCGACAGTGTTGAGATCTGCAGGCGTGGGTACCGAAATTCTGTGATTCCTGGATCGACTTTGAAGATTGGACTTGTTGAAGCTTCGCGTATCGCGCAATGGGGATTGATTTACTTGATTTGATACTCCACATGTAAAAAGGGGATTGATGGAGGACAGATATGGTTCTTTCCGATTATGTGTTGAATGCAACCTTATACCTTATGTGCGAATCCGTTTTAGAATGTGAAAGGATGGTTGACCTGAAGGTCACTGGATATTTCACTAATGTGTTCAATATTTTCTTGCTTGAAAATGAAGAAGGTCTAATGAGGAGTGTGTGTACCTCTAGGAGGTTGTTGGAGTTGTTGAGAATCAGGAACCAATACAAAAGTTGCAGATTCCATTTCGCTGCTCTTCTTAAAAAGGATTGCTCGTGATCTGGACTGACGACAGAATTGTATCATATTCTTTTGAGAATCAATTGAGCAAATCTGAAGTTGCACTATTTTCTTGCATTGTAAGGATTTTCATAGGCTTCAAAAGGTAAGAATTACGACTATTGATTTTAAACATTATAAATAAGTCAGCTCGAAAATTGAGATATGCATAACTTCTACTCACTTTGCTGATCTATCCTACTAAGTGTAAAAAAGGCCCGTATAATTAAACAGTGGAATAAGAGATATGGAGAAACAATATCTGATTATCTTGATGATCATGTGGGATGTGATATATTATAACTCTTCTACTGAAGATAGTAATCTGTTCCTAGAAATACTGAAATGGGGTGTCTCGGGAGGATTGTGCAGTTGCTCCGCCTTTCCTACTCAACGTTAGGCCATAGGCACTGATGTGATGCAACAATAAGAATAAGTGTGAAGCAATGTTAACCCTCGCTTGACATGGGAAAATAAGCTGCGTTGACGAACAAAACTGTCACTTATGTTCATCACTAGATTTCGGAGAAGACAACACAAGCCGAAAAGAGAATTTGACCCCTCCCCACGAAGACTTCATGACTTTCCAGGTTTACTGCTTTCCACTGTGTTCTGATATGCACCTTTACATCATCTTACTATGTCTTAGAGCAAATGTAATATATATAACTTGACTGTTACGGCATACCAGCCCATTCAAAAGATTGAAATTGGGAGTTAACCTCACCACCTCACACACCCGGGTCTCAAACTAGTTGTACCTAGGACTTCCCTAAAGGTGTACCTCCCACTGTCATACAGCTGCTGACAAACAACTGCTACTAGGCAAGCTCGGATCGCCTGGAGTGCACCATAGCGAATCCAGAGGTTCTTCAAAGAACCATGCCTTTGAAAGTTCTCAGTGAAAGTGCATATCGTTATATCCCTCCCACCCATCAGATAGAAGTATAGCAATCTTAGATGAATCGCCATAGACGGAATTTCTATCAAACTTCATGTGTGAGTTCACTTCAAACAGCACAGAAAGTTTCTCCATGAAGATCAACACACAAGAACAGTATCCATGACCACATGAACTGCCCCACTTGCACGGTCTCGCAGGTAAAAAGTATGTTTATCTTTTCCTCTTCTTTCGTTCTGTTTACAATCCTATGACGACTTTACGGATTTTTCATAATAATATCTCTATATAATTGCAACAAACACGTGATGGTTTCAGCTCCTAATATACATCTAACTGCCGCATCAATAAGTTACACGTCCTTAAAACTTTCCGCAAAAGACATGGCCTTCGAAAACGCTGAGAGGCCACACAATTCAATTCAGGAAGAACCTGCACACAAACTCCACGAGCTGGAACTCGACTAACCTCGAGGTGCGAACTTCCACATATATGCAGCGCAATAATACTTTGAAAAGCTACTCACTCCAAAGCTTAATACCACAGAACATACTAAAAAATGCCAAGAATCCAGTTATCTAAATTGGCGCTGCAACTTTCTCCGAAAAAGCCCATCCACTTGCCAATATAGAAGGTAAATGGTGCAGGCGCTTATTGCTCAGGACGTCTCTAAATTCTCCACTTCTCCTCCTACCAGGTATGGCGTACTTCAGATCTATATATCTCAAGGTCTCTGAGGAAGATATAGCACATACCCTTCTGCAGCTATCGATCACGGTTACTACAAGCACATCCATCCAGCTCCGCTTTGTGAGACTTCGGTTACACGTATAAATGCTACACTGTTTTCGGATATTTTTTGTGACATCCAGTGTAGAATTCTCTTTAGACACGTGAATCAAATATACATCAAAATGATTTTGTGCAAACTCTAAGGTCTCTGCGTTCACCAGCTTCTAGCATGGTCATAACGGTATCCTCTCGCATGGACTTACAATTTACAACATCAGGGCAGATGATGATCAGTCAAGCTTGACCCCGGAGTAAAGTAGAGTGTCACGGGTCAAAGGCATGCCTACGAGGTAGCAAGTCTGCACAACAATATTGCATGCATTAGTGGAGGTAAATTTCAAAACAATGAGTTACTACATGCCAAACGCCGACTTTAACATACAAAACAATGACCACAGGTATAACCACATACGATATGGGAAGAGCAGAAAAAGGTCAAATCTGCTGAATAACATCCATGGCGGGAACGAAGGTGTTCTACCCCAAGTAAGGTCGCAACCAGCAGAATAATCGTTGTAGCGACCACCAGTGAACTGCGAACCAAGTATAAAATCTCCAACTCGATCAAGGTGTTGTCGACTTTACTAAGACCACCGTTGGCAGATGGAGCTCCAAGTACGGGGCTTGACTCATCCAGAGATCGAGATCTGATTGGAAACTTGACTTGGAACATCTCTTGTTCAGACTCATTGACGGAATTGCTTGGAGGGAATACGAACACACCAACAAATTGACCTGCACGAGAGGATGCAGATAGACTCAGCATAAGCAAACTCTTATACCCTGATTGTAAAGCTACGACCTGCGCCTTGGCAAAGGTTCATGTTGAGCTTCTTTCAACAAGAACACCCATTTGAACCTAGATTGCAATATTCACAACAGAAGTGACAACTTTGATGACCGCAAAGGTGTACAGCTGCAAAACTGCAAAATCGATTCCTTTCCAACGATACTACTCGTCATAACCATCATGTCGGACTTACCACGGTCTAGAACTTGGGCAACAGCGAAGAGGAAAATCTTTGAAGCCTCCAGGTTGTTGTCCATTGCCTGTTAAATCGACACGTTAGTAAGCACACAGGCGATAATATCGAGCTCAACGGGCAATTCTACTTTTACAAAAGTAAACAGAACACAGTGTAATAGCTCCTAACCTCAACGCCGGAAAAGGTATCCATGAAGAGCCTTGCAGTGCCTCTCGAGTCTTGAGAAGTGGCTGCCCGTTTACTAAAGTGAGAAAGGGACATAAGGTCGACGGCAAACTCTCGATCAGCTTTCTGCACGTTAAACAAAGATCTGCCTTCAGAAATGCCTCCAGCACAGTGTTGTTTGTAAATACGTTAGGTTCAAACCCTTGCAGATCGCAACAGAGAAACATAGTGGTGCACGCACCTTTGAAAGGTCCAGCGAGATAGAAACGCTCTCCTCCAATGTAACAGTCAGCTCGACAACGTCGCCGTTCTTCTTAAAGACTCCTCCCAGGAAAGTCATCTACGTCATCCCAATGTATATAGTAGTGTGAAGAATTATATTTTTTGTTGTAGACCACTGACATGTGTAGCAAGATCAAGTACAAATACTCACTTCGGGGCTTACAGGGGAAGACTGAAGTTAAAAGGGGTGACAGTGCACTACAGCCGTATTGTTGGCTGCAGATCCCACCCTCATTGCATCAAATGCCAAAGTAAACCACTGGCGTCAACGTACGTGAATGAAGCTTGCAGCAATAAAATCGAAGACAGTCCAAATCGACTAGCAGCAATCATATATCGTGAAGGACTCGAGACGTTCAGCGGTTTGCTCATTCGCCGATAGGACCGAAAAATTAAAGGGCACCCTGAGGGTACCGAGAAAGAGAACTGCTAATATATATCCCATCGATGTTGAATGGGAATCCATAGAATGTAATCAGCGAAGAAAGTGACCATACATCAATCTAACGTATACTATAGCGCAGAAAAGAGTAGCCTACCATATCTTCGAGACCCTGCTCCACTTCTTCCTGATCCACCCAGTTCTTGTTCAGTGACTCAATGTTCACCTCTTGACCTGCAGTATACACAGTTCAGAACAAAATCACAGCTGCATGCCTAATCGGCTCTACAACGAAAAACAACATCTGAAAAACAAAACTCATCGAACATTGATACCAGGAGTGTTACCAGATAGGACAAAAGGCTCTTGTCTAGTGCTCCCTGAGAGCAAACGTTGCTGAGTGGTAGAGTGTCCAAAGATAGCCTTCCTTTCCCCAGCGCTCAATTGCTCTGCAAAATTACAGTCAATGTTTGCTATAGTGAGTGAGATCTCAGAGACAATGAAATGCTACAGACAAAGCGAGATAAAAATACCGAGATTGGATTTATTGAAATTGAGACTTACCCAGATTGATGCCTCTAATAGTCAGAGCAAGCACTGAACCGGGTCGCCGGAAAGGGCTGGATGAAAGAACCGAATCAAGCTGATCGGGTAGCCAAGACATGTTGACGGTTAGTAGTAAGAACTGAGACAGAAATCTCTCTACACTGGACGACTAATATGAGCAACTGAACACTCGGTAGCTTGATTCTGAAATGAACGTGCATAAAACTTCAACTTTTGCTCGAAGTTACAGTCATACACAACTTTAGGGTGCAAACCCAACGTTGTACTTTGTTCCCAGATAAAATCGTCGTATTGCTATGCAAAAGTCAAGCATAAGTCAAGCAAATGTTTTTTGAAGACCTAAAACCATTACTTCTTTATCAAGATCACAGAACTCAAAGGAATGTGGATACTGATGAATTCAGCTTGTGTCATATCTAACCTTGGCAGACGAGTCTGAACTGATCATGACTGGAGGAGAGACACCCAACAGTACTGATACTGTTGCAGCGACCTCTTCCTCAGAGAAAATAACCTGCAAATTGATATTAAATAAAACCTCAGATTCTACATATAACATCTGGACTTTCAACATGAACACCCTTTCTAAAGTTATGATGAAAAAAAAAAAAAACAGAGGACCTAGAAGGGAGACCTCTTGTGGACAAACACAACGTTGGCATTTACAGATCGGATGCCGACGAGCGAAATAATATCCCAGAGAAAAGTAATGGAAACCTAAAAAATCAACTGCTTACTGCTGACAGGATCACACACTAGCATTTTCGGTGTAAACCGATACATACCAAACTGTAGACCAAATATGAACAAACTATATTTTTCCATCGACCACTTCATGCCCATTACAATTTGAATAAGCAAATCCAACAATTCTCCCATTACACAAATGGTTACTTGGTGTGTGAAACTAACCTCTTGATGATCTGTCTTACTATCTCGTAAGTTTCCATCCTGGCCGCCCTCCAAAAACAAAACATTTCCAAGGTCCAAATCCTGTATCCTCCCCCACACCAATGGTCAGGCCAAATACAGAAGGAAAAACAAACAAAAGAGTGAAGAAAACAGTCACACCAAATTCCCCCAGAAAACACGGATCTCTCCGATTATCATGTCGTAGTTTAGCGAGATAAATTTCTGAATCATGGGATGTATTACTTCCGAGAGTAGACATGTGATTCAGGATAATCATCCATTATAAATGAGCTTGAGTGCTAAGACTGCATGTATCAACTCTCCGCACGTACCAAACTCCGAACAGCTCAAGAGGTGAAACCACAAAGACATGCACATGTATAAGAACAGCTTCTATGAGAAGTGCGTCTGCCCTTCGACATACCTTAGATGCAGCAAAGCTTGAGGATGCCGAGAAGACGATCGTGGCCAAGGCCATGACCACAAAGGAAATTGCGACACGTGCCATGGCCAATCTCATGTTGTCCCTTAAATTGCAGACGCTATTTCAGCTTCGATGCTCTTCCGTCACAGATTACCTGGCATATGCACAAAATTCCTTCTTCCACAGATCCAAAGATCGATCTCCAGATCTCACCACGGATGACCTGTGAATCACGGATCAATCTCAGGCACGACAGCGCCTCATTCTTACAAACCTCAAATCAAGCTGAATACCAAGCACGGGCTCATCGAGCCTAATCGCAGCGACAAACAGCAACCAGGGAGGCGCCTACAAAATCAGAGCATAGAAAATCGACACACCTTCAGATCCTGGAATTCCTGATGCGGGTTTCTCAGATCTGAGCGACCGAGTTGTACGATTGCAATTCTTAAGATGCTTAAAGTGAAAGATGTAATCAGTGGGACTGGTCGTGAGAGAAACCCTTGAAACCCTGCACAGATGAGCAATGAGATGGCGCTTGATGGAAAGGGTGCAGCACAGAAGCCCGGCTGCCCATCTTCTCTGTTCACAGCGATCAATCAATCCTTCCAAAGGCCCAAGAGGTCAGGCCACACTCGAGCCCTGCCTGCCTGGGCCCTCAGGCCGGGCCACACTCATGGAGCAGGACGGGCCAGACTGTCTACGTGTCCCGCTGTGACATACTTCCAAATCCACATATTTGTTTGCTTTTTCCACTTTTCTCTTTTTATTTTCTCCCTTAATTTATATTTATCAATTCCCTTCTGAATGATGATAAATGATACATATATGTTAATTGGCGAGTTTCTTTGTGCGAATTCCCGATTCTGCATTTTTTTTTTGAATAAATGAGAATACTGTGTCAAATAATCATCTCCATTTAAGAAATCCTTGTCATGCTTGTATTGTTGTAATTTGCTGTACCTCCCTTTTTAAATTAACGAAGAGAAAGATAAATGTCGATCTTGGCAGTACATCGACTTATGATACATCACATGAATTTTGAAATTTTATGATCACTGATTTTGTTGCTGGACTTGTTAAAGTCGTTAAATCATCTATCAGCAAATGACAGAATGTACGAAGTAAATATAGTTGTTAATTGAAGAAATGAAGAATTTTAAAGATTCATGTAGGACAGAGTCTTAAGAAAATAAGTTTCAATGATGAAGGTTTGAGATTAGATTAACAAAGATAATTCTCGTCAACATCATGAAACTGATTTACATTTAAAAATATACTATATGGATGTGAAAATCTATGTATAACATTTTAATAATCTTAATATGTATTTATTTCCAGTTTCAACCAAGTTAAAAATCAATGAAAATATGGAAAAATAGAGTAAAATTCAATTAATGAAAATTTGTATTCTATTGGTTAGATTTTTCGCCATGAGTAAATTCAAACGCATCAGTAACATGCATTCACACATCATCAACACAACAATCATTCACGGTTCTCCCCTATGGATACGTTCACAAAATACTTTAAGCTTTACCGAGTAACCTCAAAACTTATCACAAAAACTTTTGTGAACTTTCATATATATATATATATATATATATATATATACATACATACATACATACAGTGCTAGTTTAATCAACTTCATTGCCGGAGTATCGTTAGCATGAGTTACCAAAGCAGTTGAGTTAATTGTTGATAATATACCCTTGACCTCGTGTTGTGGAAACCATAAACTTCATAATCTATATAATCATTCTGAAAAAGGTTCCAAAATGAAATATGGAACATGTCACTTTGTGAATTAGAGTTAATTGGAACTAAATTTTAGAACAAAAAAGATATATATATATATATATATAGGTACTTATGCTCTTGTGTGAAATTTGCAAAGTAGCATAATGTATGACAAAACTCATCAAAGTAATAACTTTGATCAACGTATTAGTTATAAGTTGATTGAAAATTGGTTCAGTATTAGATATACTGAACCAACTTTCAATCTTGACTAGTTCAAATTTCATACCAAAATCTTCATCTATAATAAAAGTTGAGAATCTATAAAGTATGAAGTCTATATGTTTCAATCTTTTAATTATCATAATAAATATTGAGAATCTCCTATTTCATCTCAATGAAAACTTTATTCAACCAAATAATTTAAATTGTTGTTTCAATTGTTGTTACAAATTCATCTTATGTTGTGAATTCTATGATTCATCTCTGGGAAGTAGACATTCATCACCAAGTGAAAACACATTTTTCATTTAAAAAAAATTTCTTATCAAAATCTTATTCATAGTTAGCATCAACGTAACATATCAGGAATTCAACATTGTCTAATAAGTCTTCCAACAAGAAAACTAAAAATTATGTACAATTGAGTTATTTGAAAATTCATTCAACAAGTTTGTAATACATTTTTCTTAAGCTGAACATATAGCCTTATCCATCTTGTCCATAGCCACATAATTATTATATTTACTACATATCATCAATTATACAACACAATTCATTGTTTTGTCATAAGAAATTAATTATTATATATCTTACATATCATCAATTATACAACACAATTCATTGTTTTGTCATAGGAAATTGATCATATATTTTTCTTCTCAACAGCATCAAAGCAAAAATTACAAAGACCTTAAGTTTTGTTGTCAAAAAAATTCAAATTAATTCAAGTAATGTTCTCCAAAACTTGTTAAACACTAGATAAATGTTGATGCATACTTCTAGCATTTTTTGTTGAAATAAACATGTACAATACTAGTATAATGAAAGTAAAGATTCCTCTATTCACCTTTTACCATGTACACACATTTATCACACAGAATCAATAAAAAAATTATAATTTCATTAATTCATCAAACCTTGCATTACATTATTTAAGAGCTTGTTTCAAAAAACATATAGATTTCAACAATCTACAAACCAACTTATTTAAAAATAGTAATTTTAAGCCAACTTATTTTTCAAATAAATTTCTAATTTAAAAGTTTCATACAAAATGTTGCTATTATATTGATGTGTTTATAACTAAATATCGTATCAAGTGCATAAAAAATATAAATTGTAGCATATTTTGTTATAAAAAAATAATAATTTAGTCTATATTTTTTTGTAAAAAAAATCTAGCTATTACTTTACCTTTAAATATTATTTTCCTCGTATTTTCTTGATTTTACTTCTTAATTTCAAAATAATTTTCTAAAAAATCAAACGTTGCAAATATAACTTAGATTATTACTATGATAAAAGTTTATATTTCAAAAAATGTATGATCATGGTTAAGTATGAAAAATCTAGATCTTAATATCTTCCCTGTAGCTTTTAGCGTGACTTAGATCTTTATTTTTCCTTAAAATATAATCATCATGTTCATTACAAAATATCTTATTATATCAAATTTTTCATATTTCATGACGATCATTTAATTTTGTTGAATAATTGAGTTTGTTCCAGGTGACGATTATATGATTAAATTTGCTTTTTCATTCATGTGAAAATATCACACATCAAGGTTAAAATTTAAGGTTGTAGATTTTCAAACAAAAATTATAATATGTAATATTTAAAATTCATCCTCATTATTTTTTCTTGTTCACTTTATGTCAAATACAATTGCGTTGTTTCGTTTTTTGTTACAACATTTAACATAACATACAATCAAACAAACACAAAAATTTGTTTTTAATATTTGCAAATGTAAAATTGATGATCTTATTCACAATCCATTTGCTCTTAACAATAGATTGTAAAGCGGCTTTTAGAAAATTTCACATGTAATGTTTTTTTTCTAATGCTTTAAAATTGTACACCTTTCATCGTACCAAAGTTTTAAGTTTGCTTTCAATTTAAAATTCTTTTTTGTGCAAATGACTTTTTGATTTCAATTCATGTTTGTCAAAATTTGAATATACTCAAAATGAAACTATTTGACACTATCGACACTTGCAATATATTGATCATATCAAAATCATCAAGATTCAATTCGACTCTTGTTGCGCTTGAATTTCAACAAAATAATCAAATTTCAATTTAGTGAAAAAATTTGTCAATAAAATCAAGTTTGACTATAATTTTTTTAAAAAATATATCATATTTTAATTGTATATTTTTAATATTTCAAAAATATTCATGCAATCTTGCTTGTTTGTTTATGATTTTTGTGATTGATTTTTGTTTTTTGTGAATATTTTCAAAAAAAATTTCAAATTGTGAAACATCTTAGGCTATATGAGCTATAAAAGCAATTTGATCATAGCAAAAAAATTCACATTAATTATGAAAACCTATTTTTTGAGTCTATCATCACAATTTGCATTTGAATCCTTGTGCGTTGTCACTCTTTTGCCTCTAATCAACTAAATTTTTGTCAAATTAAGTTTATTTTGATCTTTTGATTTTCTGCAAGCAACGGAGATTAAGGGGGGGTTTAGAGTTTAAGGTTCAAAATAAAAATTCAAAATTATGTTTTCTTGAAGAACTCTGTTATGTTCGCTTGTCTTGTCATGCACATATAATTAAACTAAAATATTCTTTTTTAACTTGAACTTTTTCACCCAGTAGACTCGTAATGCTTCGAAGTCAAAAATTGTAATTGAATTATGAAAAATTCAAACAACACATTATAAATATAAAAATTCCAATAATATGCTGCCAAATGAAATGCACAATCAAAAAAAATTTCTAAGATTTACAAGCAAAAATTGTCGACACAAGAACACATATGTAGGCTACACATCATGTATATGTTTCTTTATACTATACTCTAGATTGTATGAATTAACATACTTTCCTTGCTTTACACATAGTATATATAACATAATCATCTTTTGATCAATCATTTGATTTATTGCATTCATATTGTATACAAAAGCTTCAATACATGTAAATAATATAAATAATTTTCATGTTCTGTGTAACTATGTTAAATATGTATGCCACAAAATTAATTTTTTTTCCACATATGAAGTTTATGAGATATAAGATTTATTCACTGTAATGTGAATGCAAAAAAAATGAATAATCATAAAATAGATAAAAAAAACTTGAGCAACATACATATTAAAATCACAAGTGAATGTAAAATTTAAATTTTTAATATTTACAATTTAAGAATAATAATTACATATTTTATTTTTTAGATTTAAAACTTCATAAATTAAAGAAATTTTCATTCACACTATTTTTTACTCTTTTATTATGAGCTTGCTCATAAAAATCTTTTCAAATTTTTTGTTTCATGACTAATATTAAAATATTTTCTTTCAATTTGAACTTTTTTACTTTCTAAATTAGACTTTTTTTCTTCACTATTATTTTTAATGCTTTTGTTTTCAATAATTTTTTAACTCTACTTTTTTTCTACTATTTCTTTGATAAAAATGTTTTTAGATCTCTGTTATTTATTTCTGTTATTTATTGCTTTTGTGTTTTTAAAATTAAAGATTTTTTTAATAATTTATCATTAAATTAATCTTAATTATTTCTATATTTTAATTCTTGACATTTAGATTCTTTGATTTCAAAACTTCAGGTTTTATAACTTAATTTTTGTTTTTTTATAATTTATTTTATATACTTTCTCAACAATTTGATTTATTTTGAGCTT